ACAAAAACACTGCACTATGAAAGTTTTAGTTCAAAAATGAGCTGGGTATATGTAACCACCCAGAGCTTGCTAGCAGTTTGTTTGATGACATATAGGTACTATTTTCTGTGAGTACTAAATTTGTACAACAAAGGAAAGTCTATGTTATTTGTTCTCCACATAAAGAAGAGCAAAGTCTACATATATTGAACTTACAAATCTATTTAAGCTAAATAATAATACACAATAGTCTAAATTACAAGCTTACACCATTCACATATGGAAATTATGCAGACATAACTGTAGACATCCTATAATTGAACAGGAATGAATCTTGATCAGCATTTTGCATGATAAATCCGCAGGTCCTGCAAAGACACTGCTGAAATCTGAGGGTGGGGATTAACTGATTACTTCTAAGAGCGTTGTATGCTTTATTTGGGTTTGTGCTCAGAAATAACAGAGGGGACGTGTACTTATGAAAAGACCTGATAATGTCTAGAAAATGAACAACAACAACAAAAAAAAACTCTCTTGTTCAGAATGTTGCGTCAGTACCTCTTTTTGTATCTGAATAAAATTAACGAACAGTATTCCTGATATCAAATCATGGCAATACACTTGGAAAGTCTGCAAAATCAAGAATCAGAGGAGTTCCTGGAATGAAGTGTCTCTCTCATGGAACATAACCTTATTCTTCCCTGGACAACTGGAGAAAGAAAAAGGTAAAATTCCTAAGAGATGAAGACAGGGCCAGAGTGACTGCAAAAAAGTGGACTTGATATCAAGTAGTGATGTTAAATTATTTTATAGTTTAAAAAGAAAAAAAAAAGATGAAGTAAGTCTAATAAACTGAATCTTTCCCTTTAATTTATTTTGGGGTGATATCACATAACAGGAAAGGAAATCAAAAGCATTTGTCTGCCTAACACAAGTACAAAACACATTTAATGGTTTCCATTCTTCTGACCTGTATTTGATACAGTACACCGGAGACCACACAGTGAGAGTCTAGCAATGAAATATATACAAGTTTTTATTATTATTATTATTATTATTATTATTATTATTATTATTATTATTATTATTATTATTATTATTATTTGGGGGGGGTCAAAATGTGGTTATAAAATAGGATTATTTTCCTATAATCAGCAATATTATAGGAAAAGGGGGAAGGGAGTCACAACAGAAAATTTTGCCTTAATGTTACACACCTGCTATCAAAGGTATGTAATTCTCGTTCACAGCTACAGCCCTGATCAATCTTACCAGAAGAGTGGCCAGTGAAAGAAAATATTTCCCAAACTTGAAGCAATGCCTCTGAAAAAACATTCACATCAGCTGGAAAACTCCCAGAAATTCAATATATGATGTTTGAAAATATTTTTAAATTAAGTGTTGGCAGATATTACATAAAAATGAGTTCCAGTAAAGTAAAGTAAAACTGTATATTTTTCTCCTGGTGACTACTGTGGCTTGAGCTGTGAAAAGAAGAGGAAGCTTTCAGTTTGGGGATAGAATGGGATGGATCATTACCCAAAGCAATCTCACCTCCAAAAACAATAGTGAAAGAATGCCTGTGCAAGGCAGGTACAAAACTGGAAATGGCCAAAAAACAAAACAGAATCACAGTTACAGACAATCCATATGCCACAGTAAAACTGGCACCATTTCTTTTATCTTTACACTGTATATACTTACAGTGTGCATTGTACAGGTGTGTATAAATAAACAAGCATATGTTTATGTGTATATACACATATTCACAAATGCCAACACAAATATGGGAGGAAAACCAAGGTCAGCTCCCTAAGAGTTGGAAATAACATCAGAGAAACAGCCTAAAAGGCAGCATATGTGTGTGACACACACATATGGCTTGATATTGGAAATATTTCTTTAGAAAAACCCCTTGCCCGCATTCTACAGCACCTCTTTCTACAGCACCATGTTGAAGGTCTTTTGAAACATTCCTTGAAGAGACACAAGGAGTTTGAGCTTACTGAGAATTTCAAAGAGCGAGAGACAGTGAACTTAATTTTTGCTCACAAAAAATGCAAATAGATAGATACATACATACATATATACATACATACATAAATACATACATACATATATATCTCTAAGGTGGGAATGAGTATAGTGGATTCAAATAATTCTGGACAGAAAAGAAAATAAACATGATTGACAAAACTACTGGTTGAAAAACAAAAATGATGAAACTGCCACAATTGCATACTAAAAACTAAATCTTAGAACTGTTACCTTTTTCCTCATTTAAACACAGCCATTTTAAGAAGATTTCTTGCAAAATATTAAATATTATTTTGCAAAATCCATGCTGCTCAATTTTATTAAGGGAGCTATATTGGCTTCTAATGTTCTTTTTTACTACTCTTATATATCACTCCTATTATTATCAGAAACACCATTACTGTACTAATATTCATGACATGCCAGCTAGCCATCCCAAAATGATAAAAGGTCTGAACCATCTCACACAGTCAATAACCAGTCAATAACTTAAGTGCATACAACCAAATCACTGTCTTAATTTCAGCGCAGACATTTTAGTCAGCTGAAGAGTACCACAGAGCACAAGACACACTGGGTAAAGGACAACTTGGAAGGGTTATAAAACACATCTGAGACTTCTTAAATAGGAGGAGGGAATGTAAAATCACATTTCTCTTTGAAGGAATGTACTCTTTTGGGAGTCATTACTTTAAAGAGTTTAATTACACTTGCATATAGCTTACAGAAATGACTGGCTCTAGGTAAAAATCATTCATAGGGAATACTACAGGCGGGTCTTTTATAGCAAGTTTCATCTTTAGACTTGTTATACATAACAAAATATCTCATTAAAACCAATGTGTTCATAGGAAATGAAGTGTGATAAATGTGTATTTCTGTGCTATTATATTAAACATACATCATTCTTGTCCCAAGAACAAGCACAAGAGCCATTGTTAGTACGATATTACTGCAGATCTTAAAATATCTGACAAGCATTTTGACCAATTAATTGCATCAACTTCCCTTCAATAGTGTGCAACAGAGGAGGGTCCAGGTGGCATCCAGAAAATGCAGAGAACATAGCTCCACTGGGGCAGACTTATCTTCCCTTTAGTCTTCCCCCGGTGCAAAGAGAAATATCCCATAAGTAACAATCAGCTTGGGAACCCTTAGACTTTCAGGCCATCTCCTCAGCCTGCGCAGTCCTTTGGCAAGCAGAGCCCAGAGACCCACCTCAGCTGTGGATCTGATCCATCTGCGCTGCTGTAGCTGCATAAACTGTTAGACCCAGGGCCCCCCATCCTTCACAGCCAGACAGGAACGCCGAGATAAACTTTCTCTGCAAAAAGCACTGCATGCTTTGGAGTTTCCTGTGTTATCCTCCAAAGTTGGATCCAAGCCCCGGCACTTAAATTTAGATTAACTGTCTCACATTTTATTTATTTACTGTTTCCTGAGTTATTAATATAATAAGCTTTCCCCATTTAAAGTTACCCCCCACACTCTGAAAAAGCACAACAAAGACCTCTTAAAATGACCCATTTCCTGTTTCTGCAACTGCACCTTCTCTGTGTGATTTCCTCAGTTTGCATAAAATGATTAATTATGTGTGTATGTATTAGAGAAGGTACACACACACTGCTTTTCCTCTTTGCTAATTTTTCATTGGTACTGAAGGTATAAACTACCATAAAGTAAACACATTAATGTTAAGCACCAGGAACTGGATCTCCCAAGTCCAGTGGACACTTACAATGACCAGCTCCAAAGTAAGATGCTTTTCATCTCCATCTCTATCTGTGCTGTTGGACTTGGACAGTGTTAAGGTGATGCTGATTTCATTTTCACTCCCACAGCAACTCTCGTCCAAAAATTTTGTAACATTTTGGAAGCATAATGATTTACCTCTCACCACATCCCCGTGAAGTCATTATCCTTTGTGTAGCTGGGCAGAGCGAAGGCCCATCTTTCTCTCTTCCAGGGCATTCCAGTCTTAATGGGTTTGTGCAGCCAGAAAATGTGACCCCCAGCCAGGCCGGATCACTGCAGTTGGACTGACTCTGGCACACTCAATATATTTCTTCTGAAGAAATCAGCTGCCCACAAACAGAATTTATATGTATATTGCAACAGCAAATTACATTAAAGTCTAATTAATCTTAGATGGATGGTAAGGCCTAGAAAGGGTTTACTCTTAGCATCCAGAGGAATCTCTAGCAATGACCAGCAAACAGAGGTACTGGCTCTTATATGGCTATAAATGCAGGAAACAGTGTTTCCAGACTCTTCCTACCTTCTTCTCTAGCTGGTCTTTTTTCCCTTGCAGACCCTCAGCCAGCAGAATCACAGAATCACAGAATTTCTAGGTTGGTAGAGACCTCAAGATCATCGAGTCCAACCTCTGACCTAACACTAACAGTCCTCACTAAACCAGCCTCACCTCTCTCTATATTGCAGGAACAGGGCAGTTCCCAGCAATTACAGACTACTAGCCTCTATTTCCTGTTTAGTGAAATACTCTGCAGTCAGTAGTTAAAGACTGCACTCATTCTCCAGCCCTGGAAGATCTGAGCTTGTCCCACACCATTAAGTTTCTGGATGAGACCCAGCACAAGGCTGAGACTCCCACTTCAGGTACTGCTCTGCAAGGAGGCAGCAAATGTTAGCAGGCAAATTGTGCTGTGAGGCACCACAACCCATAGAGGGCAACTGGATTAATACTTGGATTGACCAAAAACTTCACTGCTGTCAACATCAGCCCAGGAACAAGTCTGGAAACAGTCAGCATGCTGAAGGGCAACCATCCTTGCTAGCGGTCTGTAAGGCAGGGCATGCCTGTTAGAGGAGAGGGTAGGGCTGTAAGACAGACATCCACCAACCACAAAATGGCCTTGTTAGAGCTCTGCTTTTTTCCCTTCAAAAGCTGCCACTTCCCCTTTAAGTTGCCACAATTTTTTTTTTTTTTTTTTTTTTTTTTTTTTTTTTTTTTTTTTTTTTTGCAGGACTTGAAAACACTGTGTTTCCTAGAGAAATCTTCAACAAAGCAAAGAAAATACAGCAAAAACATTTTCTCTTCTAAGGAACCCAGCAAGTAAAGGTGAGCCCAAGGACTGCTGGAGAAAGGACATTCGCATAAATGATTTGTTTGTACTGCTAATATATAAAACTCATTGAACAAAGCAAACTGTGTATCAGTTGATAAAGAATGGATTGTGTTTTTGTTTTTTTTAAGCCAGTTAATTTTTCAGTCCAGGTGTTCTCATTGCAGCTCCAGGTGCTCTCATTATTGTCCTATTCTTTCAGTTCTATCAGAAATAATCCTTTCTTAATAAATCAAAAATAAATCAAAAGAAGACATACAGGTTATCTGTTTCCTTCAGGTTCATAAGGGAAAGTCCTTACAGAAAAGGTAGACTACCAGCTTTGCTCAGAAAAAAAATGTTGTTAATATCTTATCTACCAGCAGATAAAATACGTGTGCATGTTGTACATGTATTTACTTTCATGTTAATATCTTTACAAATGTAACTATACCAAAAAAAAAAAAAAAAAAAAAAAAAAAAAAAAAAGTGGAAAAAACACTTTCCTTCCTCCCTCAAAATGTACAAAAACAGATATCTTCTTCAATTACCTCCTATAGAGAAAGCTGTCTAGAGGCATTGTTGCATGACCAATAGCTCAAGTATATTAGATTTAGGTAACAGATCATACGCTGCCCTCTCAAACCATACTAATTCCCTACTAAGAGTGTTAAATGATACTGGTAACATGCAAATCCTGATTTATTTTTTTTTTCTTATGAGGTCAATTTTACACCATTGTAATTCAAGTAGTATCAGTGTTACTGTTTCACACTGATGATAACTGATGAAAAGAAAATAGATCATGCTGATTTCATGGAACTGCAAAGCAAAATACAGCCAAAATGGATCTAACAATTGTTTTGGGAATGGTTATAGGAGATTGACCTGCAAGCCAGCATGACAATTTGGCCTGCCAGAAACTTGTAGTAAAGAGATGCAGAAGCCTTAGAAGATCTTTGCTATACCCTCATGCTACCAGATAGAAAACAGGTCTTTCCATCTAAATCTTAGATGAAAGTCAGTTATAACAATACTGCTGCTAATAGCAAACCAAAATTCAACCACCTTTGCTAAACCCAAGGTTATGGCCCTAGAATGATGCATGCCACAATAAAGTCTTCGCCCAGTAACTCCTAAAGCATCACAGGTTTGTACTGTACCCTCCAGGTCATGATAAATGTTAATAAAAAATAACTGCACCAATAATCAAGGAGATTGTAATTCACACATTCAAGCTAAGACATGTAAATATTAATTCTGTTTTGCCACCTGTGTGGGCACAGAATTCCTTACAATATAGAGTGTTAGTCAATCAAGTACTCAGAGGTGGATTGCTACTGAAATTTAAAATCCTCAAAAAACATTAGATCTTTCTTTGAGACATGCCTCATTTTTAAGAGTGTTAAAGTGCTTTTTACAGTAAGAATCACAGATGCTCTACACAGGCCTTGTCATTTAATAAATTGATCTCTCATGAGTTTTAATTTATGCTTTGTTAAGTAGAGCTCCTGGCTTCTGATGTTCTCATCCTAAATGCCTCCACAGATTTGACTGGTTCCAGGTCAACAGATCCTTCTCACTCCCTGTAGCACACTTCTGCTTTTCATCCTTGTAACAGATACCTCATTACAGAATCAGGATTGCATGATGTCAAAAGGGTTGCATTGCAAAGCACAGATATGTCATTCCCGTTACAGATGCAGAAACCATACCGATGGATTGATCTTGAATTTCAAAACAGGTAAGTCAACTTGAAGAGAAGACACTTGTTCTTCTACTTTTGAACATTTAAAGAGAGATAAAAAAGTGTAAGTTGCATATGAATAAGCTGATGGCAAAGCCTGTAACAAAAGCTTTATGTAGTCTAAGATACACTACTACTTTTTAACTCCTTTGCAGTGTCAATTAGATAATTCTATGATTCTAGATAATTATGATCAAAAGGACATTTCAATGAAGAAAATACTACAAATATAGTCTCCTCTTGGTACAAAAAATAATGGTAGAATAATAAATAAATAAATAAACGGCTGAAAATGTACAAATGTAAAGCACTTTCAGGTAGATGAAGGGCTGCAGAGGCTGCAAACATCTGGTACAAAGAGTCCTTGATTTAGTACCTGCTTTGTATGACTTGACTTTTATGCCTTTCATACTGCATGTGCTAATTCTCTTTCTAAAACCTGTCAGGCTGCAGAAAACAGCTTCTCACAGGTGAGCTGGACAGCAAAGTCCTGTCCATTCCAAAAATGAGTAAACCATTAAGAAATGAGGATAGGGATAAAAGTTAAAAGAAAAAAATATATATATATAAATCTCACTGGTTGGAAGTAAGGTGAAACCTGTTCCTACAAAGTGCTGAAGGTTTATATTTCTTCATGTTTTTCCCCAAAAGAGCTCAGTTGCATGCAAGCACCCATAGCAGTGAGCCTTCTCAACTAGCAAGATACTAGCAGGAGGAGGAAAAATGTTCACACAAGCAATAGGAATGAGAGCTGCCCTCCCATTCACCTTCTCAAGAGGCAGCAGTTCAGAAGCTGTTGTCTCTGCTCCATCTAAATGTTCAAATTCCTCAACTTCTTTCCCAGACTGTTGCCAGTGGGTCTGTCAAAAACTGCAAGACCAGCAAGTACCAGGTAAGGCCTGGGTCAAGCCCAGCTTGTGCAACCTTGTCTTCTCCACAGTCAAATCATTTCTTTGATAACCTCCAGACCTTTCAGGCTTATCTCAGCAGAAAACTGGCACTGATTTACATCTCATATCTTCCACTAGGATCTTGGCTTCATTATTCTCCTGCTTAGCCCAGTATAAATCAGGAGTAAAGCTCTTGGAACATAACTGTATATTAGTATTAAATCAGTAGGAAAGAGGAAGCAGAGAAGTGTTTTAAATAATAAATAGACATTCTCAGGCTTTCTTGTTAAAACTTATAGTTGCAGGCAGGCAGGCAGAAGTCTTAACCAACATTAATAAGACTTGTTTTACTACACACAAAATGTTACCAGTTTCCATTTTTTAAAGTACATTTATAATTACTACAGTACACCATTCTCCTTATGGTATTACTTGCTAGCATTAGTCATATATTTTTGTTCTCCCTTCCAAATAGAAAACAATTTTTTTTTCCTGAAGTTTGCAGTAAAATTGGAGGTTCTGTGATCTTTTGTTGAGCTTCAGCCCCATTCCCACCTGCAGTGTCTTGTACCAGGGGTTTCCTTTATGTTGTCATGTACATTGGCCTTTCAAACACGAAAAAAAAGGAAAGTCTTAGTTCCCAAACTACAATTTTCTAATAATGTAATAACAGAATAGAAAAATCTGTCATTTCCATGCTTTCAAATTAGCTAAATTCCGGCCTGCCACAATGAAAAGAGTGAAGAACATACCATAGTTGCTGACTGCAGATGACTTCCAAAATGATGACCTTGGGTCCCAAAGGGAGTTAATTTAAAAGCCCTGTTCAGCTGAGCAGAATGAGACCTGTTCAGCTCAGATTTTCCTGACTTTTTCTGAGAATGCAGTTCTCAAAAATGTACCAAATCTCTCACTGACACAAAGGGAAGACTACCCATATTGTCATGTGTTAACCTAAATGAGAATATGAAGGATCACCCAATGCTAAAATCCTTCCTGGGAACTTGACTCTAGACATGAATAAGGTTCCAGCCTGCTCCCAGGTTTTTGAATTGACATAAATACCTTCCAGCAATTAAACTTCAAGATACAACACACCTCATTCTGGCCAGGTGACTTCCCATGAGCATTACTTTGTCCTTTATGACCAACCCCATGATGCCCAGACATGTCAGGCTTCTCCTCAGAATAATTTCTCCAGAAATGGCCCAATATTTCATTTCCAAAAGTGATAGGGTTGAGACAAGATAGAAGGATATGGAAATAAAAATAAACCAGACTTCCATGATCCTTGGAGTTTTGGGAAGGAGTTTCAGTTGTCAGCAGTTCTTGGCCCGTGATGTACAGACAGCAAGTAAGGTCCCACAGTCCCCACTTACATAAGGTCTGTCTCTTCTCATTTCAGTCTCTACTTCATTTTCCCACACTGGAAGGCCAGTTAAAACTTAAAAGTATCCTGGCCAAGATTATCTATTTCAGAGATAAATATCTCAGCCCAAGCAGTTTCCTAAATTTATGCTTTGATATATGCTTTGATAGTGAAAGCTGAACCTAGGGATATTCTACCCCACCATCCTATTCCAGAGAATGATATGAAAAGTAATAAGAACAATTGATTCAATGTCAGTAAATGCCAACCCATTAAAAGGGCTTAAAAAAGCCTCTTTTTTAAGTTGTCCCTACATTTCTTCTTCACCTTGGCACAAAAGCCATGCATATTTTGTTTGTTTGTTGTTTCTATATTTCTATCATTCTCCTTCCCAAGAGTCTGGAAGTGGGTATGAATAAGCATATCAATTAATTAATCTTCACATAATAATTTGAAATGAAAATACTACTTTTTTGAAGATATGGACCATTTTATTAAAGAAGCACATCCCTTTTTAACTCAATTTCTCCCTCTCCAACCATGAAAACATAGGTAAAGAAAATGTCACTTTTATACTGGAGAGAGAACATGTGCAGGGAAAAGGATTATCTTTGTTTATGATGTGTTGTTGAATTCTCTACTTTTAGTTGAAAATTTTTCTAAGCACACTGCCAAAACTATATGGTGCTCTTTCTAACACAATGCAGATGGACACTGTGACATGGAAAGGGAAGTGTAGGATGTGGTATTCATCACTGAAAAGGTCATATTAGAAGTAAGTTGGTCTCACTAAAATGAAACCAAATGAAAATATAAATTGTAATCAGTTTTGTTTTTTTTTTTTTTTCTTGCCTTTTCTTTCATTTCTGAATGCATTTACTCAGTTAGGATGGAATTACTCTGTGGTTACCTACCACAGTCCCTTTTATTCATAAACTGGCAAGTTGTGTTATATATTGTGTAAAAGTTTTCATCACCAGCCATCATTGTTGTGGTTTAACTTGATCATATATGCTAAAATCCCAGTTTTAATCTGCTGAATTCATTGGTCTTTGTCACCATTGGGTTCTCTTCAAAGAAATAAAAACGGGCAACTAAAAGCCTCAGCTTACAGGGTGGGGTATGGAAATGACTGTTGGTGTTTTGGTGTTGGTGGTGTTTGTTTGTTTTTTTAGTGGACGAATGTGTTTTGTTCTCCAGAATCTTCAACCATTTCTATGTTTCCTTTATTTCTGCTTTTAAATACAATGTTGGTCAGTTTTAACATTAAAGATGACAGTTCCAAAAACAAAGAGGAAAAGATTTTCTTTTGAATAAGGTATTAAAAAAAAAAAAAATCTGTCACCTCTGGGGAAAAAAAAAAAAAAAAAAAGGAGAAATGTCATACTATGTGACATACTATGTGCTTGAACATTTTCAAATGTTTTCCCACATTTCCCACAATGGAGTCAAAGTTACTTACTATTTTGCTTTGACTGCATATTCTACCTTTGAGTTTTCTTTTCATGAGAGGAAGAAAGAACTGTCCGGCTGGCACTTCAGCAATTTGTGAGTTTGGTTGAAAAGAGAAAGCATCTGGTCCCACTGTAATTGTATTCAATGAGTACGTGGGACAGCTCAAAGTAAAACCAAAACATAAACCATTTAGTATTTCTTTGTTAACATCTATCTTATCTCAACATCTCTGGTCCCTGCACATACCTTACCAGAAGATTTTTCCATTGTTAGGAGAATAAATAGCATTCAGTGTTACATTTAATTCTCCGTTAATATTGTCATGAGTTCAAGTATAAATATTGAACTCAATAAAAATATTAATGTTCATATCAATTAACTTTTAATGACTATTTTACAAATTCCAAGTACTATTTATTCTTGTGACTCATTGCAGATCCCCAGATTTTAATGAATTTACAACATTGGCTTTCAAATTACGCACTGAAGGGCCAAGTAGCCTGTTGACTTTGGACTGCAAGGTGCCAGAGCCTTTTGAGAAGTGAAAGGATTTACATTCTGAAATTGAAGTGACAAATATTAGTCACAACTTTGTATTTTGGACACTGAACATCCTGTTCCAAATAGTCTTTAAGCTTTTTGTAGGGACAGGGTGTTGTTAACCTTTCTTTGAAGCATCTGCTATCCATCATTTTATGAGCTCACTTTTTAAGAAAACATTTTACTCAACACATGCTGAACTCCACCGGTGGTTTTAAGGGCATGAGTTCTTCTGTTTTAGAATTGCTTATCCAAACTGAGGCTAGAACTGAGGAAAGAAGCTGAGTCACAAGAACCTTTGAACTTAAGTTTAGATAGCAAATCTAAATGTTTTTTGCTAACTTCCATTTCTAAATGCAATAATTAAGTTGTAAGAAAATACATTCTTTGCAAAGCAACAGTAACAAAAATTAATCAATCAATTAATTAATTAATCTTTAGCTTTCATCCAGGGAAACAGTATTTGACACACTATCAAGTGAACCATAATGCTTTGCAGATTTAGCAAGCACACAACATTATTAATGATTTGGGTTACCAGGTAATGGAGGCCCTATAAAATGAATAATTAGACACACAAGTGCAAGGGCAGAAAACTCATTGTAATACTGGAATGGAAAGGTTGTTCTTCTGCAAAATATAAATGCATTATTTATTATGGTCCATGCATTTTCTACATATTCTTCTAAATTTGAAAATCATTTGTGATATTGCACGCAATTCCACTTGTTCATTAGTAAATTGATCACCAATTGTAAAAGGCTAACTATAAAAATATGTACTATTTGGAATCATTCACACTTACGTTGAAGAAACTGTTGCCAATGAGCTGTTTGGGATGTAATCTGGTTACAAACAAGAGAAGTGGAGGAGGAAGAAAATCTGAACCCTTTAGTCAGAGGGAAGAGGTTTGTGAGGATAGTTATCAACCTTTGTCTGGCAAATCTATGGGCAGTATTACTGAAGAAAGATAATCAGTGTGCAATCAGATTAATAAAACACTAAAAAAAAAACAAAAAAAAACAAAAAAAAAAAACTTTTAAATACACAGGTCTACCTCAAGTTGCCCTGATAATCTTACTCAATTTTGAGTACTATACATGAGGGGACTTATTAAGAAAAATGTCTCCTCAAATCATTTTCAATATGAATTTTAATTTCCATAGAGATTAAAAACATGTATTTTCACACCTAATAAACACAAATTATCTCAGGTTGACAGTATTCATAAACCAATCAAGAATTAAAATGAATTTGTAAGAGAATCCCTGTTTCTCCAGTAAGGTGGCATTATCTCACTAGCTAACACCTACAAGTTGGCACAGAGAACACCAGCCTAAACATACATGTATTCTCTCTTCATTCTGTTCCCTCCCAGCCTGCCTGCTGACTCCTCCATTCCTACCACTGTTCCTAATCCTGTTCAGCTCCTGATCATTCCCTGACTCTTAAAAGACAGCATTTTAATAGTAAGTACTCTCACTTTGTTTTTAGCTCCATTCACTCTATGTCACTTTGATATCTCACTGTTCTTCCTTTAAACAAGACAAAAATTGAATCCAGATCAAGAAATTTTTATTTATCTCTGTCCTGTTTTTCTCCACATCATTGACATCTATAAATTTCATCATCTCCAAGATGCCAGAAGTTTCCACACCTTTGTAAAAGTTGCTCTGATGCCCAGCTACACTTTAGTGACTCCAACATGGACTGCCTAAATTTTCAGCAGCAGAGCTAATAAAATGTTGGGAATACTGATATTATGTGCTGGGCTGCTTCATTTGTCTCCAGGAAAATTTTCCTCTTTTTCAACCTGCTTCAAAACTGACAAAACATTGCTTCCCATATCTTGTGCATAATGAAGATTGCACAGCAGTGAACAGCTAATCAGGGCCAAGTCCTCTATTTGACTTGTAAATATCTTTGGCTGTCTTCCAAACTCAGTGCAATTACTACAGCTTTACAACACTTTAAAGTGAGAGGTACAGTTGGTCTAGTAAAGCCAGTAACACATAAATGCTGAAAAATCACAAAATTTTCACCATTTAAGCAAGTTATTCTAACTTCAGGACTTCTAGATGTGCTGAGAAAAATATGGAGTTGTAGATGTAGGACTTCTACCAATTTAGGGTTTTGTGTGTTAACTCCTTTTAATATCAGGGACTTAGCAATGGAAACATAAGAAATTGTTGTCTTTTTTCATACAAAGGTGATGTAAGGTTTTGTGCTCTCTCACTATGGTCTATTTCACATAAAATTTCTTCCACAGGGTATTATCAAGTACGTTTGCTATGTAACCTCTTTCTGCTTAGGAAGCACGTTTTTCTGTCAGATTTTTTCCTTGACTTAAAGAGACTTCGATGGCGGCAACAACGCATTCCCACACAAAGAAAAATTTGCCCTCACAGTTTTCACTGTTTGTATTTTTTTGGAGATGGCATAGATGCTGTTAATGGAAAGGGGAAAGAAAGGGGAATGAAAAGGGAAAAAAAAAAATAAAAAAGGTAAATGCAAGAATAGTGCCAAGCTTTGCCAGGATATATATATATATATATATATATGTATAATATATAATATGTAATATGTAATATAATTGATATGTATCAATATATGTATACATCAATTACAGTATTCAACAGCTTAGATTTGTTACATGTTAAAACTGCAAATAGAAATCACTGTAAAAGGAAAAACTGAAAGAGTTAATTGGGGAAGTGTGGAAAGGTAGACTAACAGATTTAAAATATTTTTAAAATGTGTATTGTTCTGAGTTCCATGTCACCACAGCAAGAGTGCCTATGGTAGCTGTGTTAGACTATCAAATAAAAGCTTTCCTACGGCAGTGTTTTGTGGTATACTTTGTACCACATGCAGACATAGTACATCGTCTTCCCAGGAGCACAGGTGTGAAATCTGATGGAAATTAAGATCTTAAGAGAGGTCAAATGACCCTTTGGCTCTGTATGTTAAATGCCATTCAGGATGTGAACCACAGAGACTTAGCAATAATTGTCGTTATAGAGAAAGTCTTTAGTATGTCATTGAAGTGAAACAACTCAGCTATAGCAGGTGAGAGGTGAACCACTATTGTGGCTTTCATTTTAATGATTTGTCCATCTCTTCCTCTATGATAGAGAAAAAAATGAGTACACTCAACTTGCTTTTATTAACCACACACTTCGGGAAAGAGTGAAAAGGTGCTTAGCAGCTGAAGGCTAAAGTCATCATCAGTGCCATTCTTGTTGGAAAAGAGCAGTAAAAATAAAAGACAGTATCTGATGTTAGTGCTGTCTGTTTTTGTAGCATGTCTTGAAAGCAACAGGCATAGCATATCCATCAGCCATTAAAGCTGGCCATTGTGTACCATACGGCCATTGTGTTCCCCACAGTGCTGCTTTCAGAGGCTTCTGCTCAGAAAATTTCATCTGCAACACCAATCTGGGAAGAAAAAGGGGAGAAATTTCCAATGGGGAGAGGAAAGAAAACAAGAACAGGCTTGGAAGAAAGAGAGCAAAGAAGTGCAGGCCACCAGGACTACATGCTCACTAGCCACCTGGATTTTAGAACATAGCCAGAGATTATGCAAATAACTGTGCTGCTTAGTTGCCTCTGCTGGGCTCAGTCCCAGAAGGATCGTAGAAGAACACAGCATCCCAAGATTTGATAGAAATGGCAGCAAAGGTGGTAAAGCTTACATCTAATCCAGAAAACTAGACTTTGTCTACCTCCACAATGGACAGCACAGATCTCCACCACTTGGAATCACAAGTATCAAGCAACTCCTCCTCAGAGCCAGAGAATGGGCCTTGGCCAAAATTTCTTACTGGAAAAGATACAGCTATCTTCTTTTTCCTAATAGTTAGGAACATACTGTGGCTGGTTCACTTCTGTCTCATCTCATACTTTTTTTGCATCAAATACAATCTTAACACAACCCTTCAATAACATCAGTTGTAATTTTATTGCAGTTTCTTATTTTTTATTTGTAAGTTTCACAAACTATTTGCAGTAGGCTAAGTCACTGTTTTTTGCCCTTGACAACTGTTCAAAAACTCCATATCCAAATTTCCTAGCATTTGCCTTCCCTTTAGCTCAGAGAAGCCCAGGTGATGCTCTGTAAAGCAGAGAGACCACTTGGCAAGAGTATTAAAAAAAAAAAAAAAAAAAAAAAAAGAGTTGACAACCAGCTGCCAGCAACAGAAGGGACCTTTTCAGTAAACACTGTCAATGTATTCATAAATCACCCAGACAAAAAGGAAGGGAAAGTGCAGTCAGAGTTATAATGTCCCGGAGAAGCACTGTTTGATTGTTGTTTACAGGACAAGAAGCATGTGGCTGGAGCTTTTTAGAGAGCCTCTGAAGTTCATTGCTTCCTTCTCTGAATCTCACTTGCTTTTACATGTTGTCACTACAGTCATTCACATACCAGCAATCTGATAGCAAGAACGGAGCAATTTCAGGAAGCGAATGCTATAACATTTTGTTGCTACTCCTTTGTGGTGAAGAACTTGCTCATTTAAAAATCAATTAATCAATCAATCAAACTGAATTCAAAGTTTGCTATTCTAGCAAAATATTATTTTCTAGCAAAATATTATATTCTATAATATTCTATTATACTAAACACTTATATGCTTCGTACATGAAAAAGTACTGAAAATGTGTATTATTGTTAAGTACAGATATCAAACCTCTGGTTATATTTTAATCAGAACCAAATAATGTAACACCATTTGCATGGGTAAAGAGAAAAATCACAAGTTTCAAGCTAAAATAACTTATTGTTCTCATTGATGTCTTGCGCTTTAGACCTATAAAACAACAGTGATGTCAATGCAGTTACTAAATTACGAGGGGAGAGAAAACTTCAAAACTCAGCAAGAGGCCCTTAGGAAAGGAATATGATTGCCAAAATAAAACCTCCACTCCTGCTCTCTCAGCCGCAAAGAAAGCAGGATGCTTTAGCTCACTAGCCAAAATGCTTCCAAAGAACTACCCAGAAAGAAAAATCAAAATACAGTAACATTAGCTTTTGATATCTATTCCCTTCTCCACTCAAAGAAGGCACTCATGATCTTATTTCCCTAAGAAGGAGTTGAAAGAATAAATTTAATTAATCTGTCCTTCAACCACAACAGAATAATATTTTTCTAGTAAAAAAAAAAAAAAAAAAATATCTAAAATTACCATTTGTACAGCAACAAATAATCTGAGACTACTGAATGGCAGCAAAAGAAGTACAGAGTGGCTGTTAAAATTCATATGGAAGAGGCAGTGCTGCTCCTAAAACACGAGAATACACAGTCCAGGGAAAATGACAGAATCTGCCCTTTTGGGGAGAAACCATCAGCAATGTTCAGTTAAGATTCTATTTTATATTGTTTCTAGTTCTTTTTTTTTCCCCTGAGTAATTCAAGCTATATCGGCTATTGGCTCTAAAGAGCAGCAATGCATGCCAAAAGGTTAACTCTTCAAAAAAGAAAAACTCCAAATCCTCTGATAAGAGGGGAGGCCAGATAAACAAAAATTTCGGCAACTGTGTGAAGAATAGGCCAAATTCATCTTTGGTGTAACAATAGAGGTACCCTGGAGTCAAGCAAAAGCCATAGCTGTGAGTGCTGCGGCGTAGCAGCAAACACAGCAAGGCTTTTCCTTATTCACTGGTGACCTGGGTTTGCAAAGGCTGGGTTCTGTGATTCAATCAGAAGCACTGATGCCTGTAGGTGTGAACTTCAGAGCACTGTAGTTCTGCTCTCAACCCAGTTAAAAAACAAGGTAAGCCACAAGTGTGGACCAGCATTTTATCTAATCAGCTTCTAGTGCTTGTGCTGCTCAGACAGGGTTAATCAGACATACATAAAACCATTTCCTGGCACTTTTGGAAAGCTTCTCCACTGATGATTCCAACAATACGAAAGGTTTCAATTTTGCAGAGTTTATATTGGCCTAAAGCGTACTGAATTTTATTTTATCACACCCTGTGGGACACATTCACTCGAAGTCTTTTTTAAGATGGCTTAGAACAAATCTAGCAACCTAGCCCTTCTCTCCTCTGTGAAAACTGAAACAAAGATTAATAAAGAATTAAGAAATGAAGTAGAAAGAAAAACTTACTCTAAGTGCATTTTGTAAAAGCGGTGCAAGTATTTACTTTATTTTGCATGTGCTTTACTGGGAGTTTTCTGACCAAGATCAGAGAGCTAGGAGTGCTGCTAATCCCAGCAAATGCTGTGCTAAAGCAGTCAAACTGCCCCTGAAAAGTTCAGACAAAACAGAGTTACTGCAGCCCAGCACCGCAATCATGAGACTACTGAAGCACAGGTCTGCACACCATGGGGTTAAGCAGCTTGTAGTGGCTGACAGTAAGATTCGGTAGACCTCTATAGCCAAAGGCCAGCAAACGGATCCTCTAGACGTCTTCGCATGCAACTGAAATGAGAGGTCCATAGGACCAACCTGAGATGGAAGGGTCGACTGCTCAAACAGCCTGTCCCTTGCGTCTTTGGTTGCCTGAAAAGAATAAGTAAATAAATAAATAATAACAAATAAAGAAAGAAATAAACAGAAATAAATCAAATCACAAAAGCTGAGATATTGGGCCAGATTTTCACTTCTAATGAGAGCATTGAAACCACTGTTGAAATGCTGAATAGTTCTAAAACACTTGTAGATCTTCTCCTTTGTACTCAATTTATGGTGCATTTAAAACTCTAAAGCAATGTATGAAGAAAAGCTGATACTCAAGGTCTCAATTCCAAACCAGCAAGGTTATATGTTTCTTTTGCAAAAAGCTTAGACACTCCTGGAAATAACTTTTTAAAATTACTACTTCTTTACACACACTTCTATTTTTAGTTTAACCCGCATGAAATTATGGAGTTACACTGTTGGGAAGAAGGTGAACAATTATCACGATTCCACATTTTCTACACACAGCAGTAAAGTCAACTGTTTAGGAGACCTGTAGGGAAATTCTGAATATGTTTTTTGCCCTGTAGGCAAATCCTGAATATAACTTCTCAGAAACCTGTTAAAAACATTTTCCTCTGCATACTGTTGAGTCATTTAATACTTATTCATTTTAGTCAACTGCTTAATTGGGAAGTTATCCTAGCACATTAATTTTATTAAGTCATTTACAGAGTAAATTTTATTTCTCGTTATTTAGTTAGTGAAAAGATTACAGAGTACTGCCCTGGTGTTACTGTACAAAAAGATGTAGATGCATTGTTTGCATGGAGACTATTATTGAAGCAGGTGAATTATGGGATGTTATGGAGATAACAGTACATTTCACCTGTGTCAGTCTTTCCCTATGGTCATCAGAAAACACAGCAAGGAAGAGTGAAGACTTGAGAGTGAAGACTTGTGTATGTGCCTGGCTGCTGTAACATCCATTGTCCTGAACTGCAGGTACTCCCAACATATTGTGGGGAAGATGGTCCAAGCAGTGCAGTCCCAATGACAGCCCAACACTGGGTACTTCACACCCACCTACTAGAAGGAAGCTACTAGGAGGCATACAAGCAGTGCTTTATGAAATTTTCTGCCTGACAGACACTTCAGACTTTTTAATATTCTGGCTCACCAACTTGCCGTGAAAATTTCAGGACCAGCACAGCTTGCAGTAACTGCACAACAGACCAGATACAAAGTTGTAATCCATTCAACACCCTTTAAGAACAGGATTCAGTCCAAAAGCACACAGCCTTTGTACAACTCCCTTACCTCTCGATGCTCTTTCTGGCAAAAAAGCAAATCCCGCTTCCATG